AGGTCTCCAAGTAGAGGATTCGCCTCCTTGGCCCTTCCTGGCGGCCCCCGTCTAGCCGATGGCATTATATTGATCCAGCCAACAACTACGACCGTAGCATTGGCTTGTGAAGAGGAGGAAGCGAGTACAACATGATTCTCTCCAGTAATGGTAGTGTTAAGCCCAGAGTGTACGCCAAGTCTTTCCTATATCCTACGATCATCATCCAGTATTCAACAGTAACTAACCAAAGATGCACAAGGTGGAAATATCAGCAACTATCATCTATTGCGAAACACTTTTCATCATATACCATCACTTCTTAGGAGTATCGAAATAGACACCGCTCAAGTCGGCGATATACCGAGAAAGGTAGGGGTCGACCAGAGAGCTTTGACTCAGAGATGTGTCCACGGGGATCCCTGACATCGACTTAGTCAACATGGAGGAAGGCCGGTTCGAATAATATCACCTTTCAGAGTGTCAACTTGTAAAAACTGTGGTTTATGGATAGCAGCATCCAATGCCTGATTAAGAGGCTTCTTAGTCACAGATAGATCCATACCCAAGGCGGCACCAGCACGATAGGTGGCTGATGATACCTACGATAAGGCAGCAGTCACTATCATTGAGGGTATAATGATCAGGTATAATGTATACCTGATAGACCTGTACTCCCTTAGCCGCCAGTGGGATACGCTTGAATACAGCTGCCCCGGACATGATGATAAGAAGAAGAGACGGAGTAACTAGCATGAGAGTAGTGTATACCGACTCAACACAAGGGGTCGATACTAGGAATAGAGAAACGTTATGGCCATTGTCGCTGCTGCCACTAGTGTCGTAGTGATATATTACAGGAAGAGGTATTCAATGGTATGCACTTAAATATTACCCTCTGCCTTTCTTAGAGACATATTCAGGGCAGGGTCTTGAAATAGTTCATCACGGGTGTCATGCAACCCAAGTAGATCGTTGTTACCAGTAGTTACATCCGTATTACCCGGAGTATTCACTTCACTGGCCCCCATATCATTATCATCGCCCTCCTTACTGCTGGTAGTAGTATCAGGGTTCTTCACTACCTTACTAACGGGAGTAGATCCCACTATGGGAATCGCCTTGAAACCATCACCGAGATCAACAACACCTTCAGTAGTCTTATCATCAGCACCAACATCAAGTAAGTCCTCAGTCTGTCCTATATTAGCATCATCGTCTTTACTGTCCACAATATGGCACTTCTCTTCGTCCACTACCACTCTAGAACCATCCTTAGCCAACCGTACAACGATGAGGGGAGGATTAAGCGTACGATCTACAGATATAACTGTGGCAGCACCTCGTCCATCAACCATTATATCGATGCCAGGGCCCAGTACTCTGAGGCCTTCACTACTAGGCGATGATGACGACGATTCATCATCGGAATCCTCGGCACCCCCATGTTCCAAAACCGACGCGAATTGACGACCGTTTTGCTGCCTGTACTGCTCCAAGAAGCCACCAGTTGAAGTTATAGGCTGCTGGTCGCATATTGCCATGTTGGGTGGTAGAGTTATGTTAGCCGAGCCTCCAGTTAGAGCACGAGGAGGTGGCGGAGGAGGAGCACTACCAGCCAACATGTCTCGCATCCATCCAGCTGCTGTCTCCAAGCCGTCTGCTACTAGATCAGCAGCATCAAGGGTTGCATCCCGTAGGGTGCCCACAGCTCCCTTCTCTCGATAGTCCAGCACGACGTCCTGAACAAGTTGATGATGTGATATGAAACCATATGAAGAAGCAAGTCGACAACGGTGAGCGTGGGTTGAAGGAAGTGTCCTCCGAGTACTACATAGATAGCATCACCGACGTAATCTGCTGCACCCTGCA